ACTTCAGACCTTTTTGTCTATATAAGTAGCTCTCCACTTCGAGAAGTTTCAGAATCTAACCTTCAACTAAATCGAGAGGCAATAACACAGTTTATACCTTACAGGAACGATAGTTGTATTATACTTACAGAGTACACTTTTTTCAAGTGAGTCCCATTTCAGCATATCTCTTTGACTTTTTTAAGGGGTAAGGGCATTCAATACGCGGGAGTGAAACGTAATAAAGTTACGACGACGCTTGCTGCCGCACGACGCGGGCCGGTCATTGGCTACAGCAGAGAAGGACGCCTTTAATCTGCTGACGACTGGCCAACTCATTTGATTGATCAAAGCCCTTTGAGTGTGTTAGCTGTTTCCCATAGGCAGAGGAGGAAACCTTAAGGACGCGGCCGGCTGCATGGAGACGGCCTTCGCACGGCATCGTCATATCAACTAACAGTTGCTAGGCTGCAGTTGGCGATAGCTTTGTTAATACGACGATTCGAAGCAAATGGACAGACGTTCGTTTAATCCGGTTTCTGTCACTCGGTACAATTCCTAGCGCTGACACTCTCGATGTGGTAGGACTTCTTCGAAAGTCATGATCCATCGATTGGTCCGGCGCCGTTGAATCTTATTGAAAAGAATTTTTAAGGATTTCTTGGCTATTTAGAGTGCCATGCGTGTTGGAAGCTATATTTGTCGCCTTTATTGAAGGCATATTTGAAACGCTGTACAGTCGTGTCATTTTTTATTGGGCCGCAGGGGATCCGTGCTTTTGGAATTCTCAGCCGCAAAAATAAGCGAAGGCCCTATCTATTAAGACACCACAGCAGATGCACAATAATGCAAAATGGAATTTACTTCGAGCGCTGAATTAGTGTACTATTGTAATTATTGTTTATAGTCAATGTACAGATATAGAGTATTTCCGGAAAATAGGAATATTGATTTTTTCTCGGTACGTGTTTGATGTGTATATTTTGTCTGCGGATACCAAACCTCACAGCCAGATATTTGCCACGGTAGTGTTGGATTTTAGTCAACACTGTCTACCTACTGCCTACCACCTGCTGCTGTAGAACCCTTGACGAAATTCTTTTGTTCCTGGTTTCGGAACGCGACCTATTTTAATTAACTACTATATACTTTGATTAGGAAAGCAGGGTGAACGAACCTGCTTAGACTTATCTAAGGAAGAGATGTTAGGTGCTTTGTGTGCTAGCGCTGGACTGTTTAAAAGAGATCTACATATAGTAAGTACTGAATCTACTTTGAAAATTTACTGCTCGAAGAGTCCAAGGCTCTCATAATTAGGTTCGAACGTTCTAATCCAATTTCGTATTTGAAAATCAAATTACGACTACGAATTCTTTAATCTCCAGGTAACTTTATTAATGGCCCGTCTCAAAATAAACGAAGAGGCTCTCGGGTGCGCTTCTCTGACACCCTTACAGGTAAGTTGCATTTACATTCTGTCTAGTCTATGTTTGGCATTCTGCAAAACGATTGATACTGTATTTGATCAAGTCGACCAAATTGCAATCATTTTTATAGAATGTATCAAAAATGCTATGTTATGCTGTGTATATATGCTATGCTTGCATTGACCTGCACTGCAAAACCTCTTCAATTGAACAGAATATTATTCTAACCCACTTTTCTCCCTGCAGTATTTTCTGAAGGGTTTTCGGAGGCTCAGCTATACGTGGTTCGGCCCTCTGAACAAATCGATTTCGTTGACATGAACTTTGACCCTCCTCCGGAATACCAGGTACATTTTAGTACGGTATTTGCCGCTTTCGGTATAAAACTATAAAAATATAGCGAAACAGAGTCGGTTGTATTTTACTATTATTTGAGTGTACCTTAACTACAAACTATAATCATGTTCTCAAATAAGTAAATATTGTACCTGTAGAAGGAAGCTTGATGTATTTGTGTTTTTATTATGGATAAAAAGAAAAATATCTAACCTGTTAGTTATCTATAATGCCGTGATTTGTTGCATGACACGTTTTTCAAGTTTTCCTCTATTTGTGCTTACAGGACAGCCTGGAATTGCCTTTTGAGCCGCCTGAGGCCTATAAAGATATGAAGGTAATATCGATCATACTTGGGTACATGCGCCTATAGTTGTGCTGCAAAATTTTCGCCGCTCTACACTCAGGCACAAAAAAATCGTGGTTTTATTTAATTATACTCTTCAGTAATTATTTAGGTGGTAATTTAGGATAGAGGAATAACTAAAGATAAAATTTCATTGACAAAAGATACGTTTGCATTAAAGCTGTATGTTGAGGTGTTGCATTTGTGGATATCTGGGAATAACCTCTCCGTTTGCACATGGTATTTTTAATTCTGCATTCAGGCCCAGGTACGCATGGCTCAGCAAGAGAAACAGGACAACAGTGCAAAGAAGGAGGATGAGGAAGACCCCATTCTAGCAGAGCTTAAGAAACGGCTTGGTTCGTGCAAAACACTCTTGATCACAACTCGTCTACAAAATATAAAAAGCAATAGAATAGTCGCCTTGTAAAATAAGCATGTACTAAACAAGACCCACTTTTTTGTCAATCAGCCCTTAATGCTTAAATACAATTTAAACCTGTCGATTCCTAATCTAAGAAACAGGTGCCAAATGGAATCTAGATCCCTGTGTTATTCCTAAAATCTGAAGTAATTATATCCTTGGCCTGGAGCTTACATATAGTTGTGTGTTGTGATCTATTAAAGCTAAAGGATAGTTTTGTTCTACGATTTGGCGGCGCAGGTGTTCAAAGTGCTGCCAACGAGGCCGAGTTAGAGGCGCAGTTAGCGGAGTTACTACCTCGTGGAGTACCAGGAAGTGGAGGAATGACCTGCGTAGGACAGGGACCTCAGACCCAACCTACACATGCTGTCACAGGCAACGGCGGGCACCGCCAGGAGATCGTCTACGAGAATGTCAAATCGAGGGGTTCCGGAAGTCAAAAAGCCGACGACAAACCTCCTCCTGAAAAAACGGCTACTGATAAAGAGAAGGTAGTTTGAAATGTATGACAAATAGTCTACTAGCACGAAACAAACATGTTCCCAATTGCCATGCATTGTTATTTGTTGAAAATTCTTTTCGAATATATCAATGAATCGAGTTTACCTATTGAGAATATAGACGCTGACGCTTGCAAAATACCAGAATGGAGAGACTTTAACATCAGGATAGCAAAATATGTCTTCACGTTATGCATTATTTGCATCCTTTTGTTCTTAGCGCGTACGATATCTATTTAGCCGGCGACACAAACTCACCCTATTCTCGTTATGCTAAATAAAGACACTTTACCGTACTCTCCTTGAAGACTACAATCATTTTTATCAATTACGGTATTTAATTATGGACTTTTAGGAAAAACCTGCGCCTCCGCCGAAACCCGTTGGACTGGCCCTGGGTCAGGGACCGCATTGCCCTGTTCCGTTGATCAACAGCGGAATGGGTCGGAAGCGCGTCTCATTCCAGGTAACTTCTGTTGATGAGCAACGCCCAGAAACCCTAGAAACTGTCCAGGTAAGTCTTAATACACGGTCAATGCGCTCGAAAATTTTATGGATTATAAAACTATGTATTTGTACTTCCGGTTTGCTTGCCGTAAGCACCCATCAACATGTTTCTACTCAAATGTATTGCTATGTCGCCAGTACGTGGAGAACCTATTCGTTACGTTTGAACAATATCGTGTTTTTCTTCTTGCCAATTTTATCCGATATGATTTTTGTTTTAGGTTGGCGACGTGGCAGACGACGATGAAGTAGCACCGACTACGATTCGCCAGGGACGAGGCCGTGAAGGAAACGAAAGTGATCATTCAGCTGAAAACCAGGAAATGACTATAATAAGTTGTACAGCTAGCTCGATTTCGCAGCCGGCACCTGGGCAGCAGCCGCAAAAGCCTTCTGCCGAACGACTTGTCCAAGTGAAGGTGGTCGACGCTGATAAGTCCAAACAGCGCCAACTAAAAAACGGAGGTATGAACCAATTAACAGATCAACGTCGATTCCGTTAATGCCTCTCGAATGATTCTTCTATGAAAATAAAGCAGAAATTAAAAGTAGCAATAACATATTGAAAAAAAAAAGCCTTTCGTGACATTTAACTATAATGCCGTGAACGTTAAGGTAAATAAGTGCATCTTTATACGGTAGTCGATGTTCGCGTGGTGTCCAGACGCCTTCGTCGTTCTGAACTGATGAAACTATCGATCTACTTTTCGAACCGTCACCCGATTTTCATCCTGCTGTCTTAATTTAAACGAGCTTTTATTACCTCGTTATTTCTGATTATTAGTAGTTACAACCCAGCATGAAATGACCCCGTCGAACAAGATGGCGGACTCGGACCGGGACTCGGTGAGTTCCTCTTCTTCCGACGGGCCTAACACAGCAACTGCCAATACGAATACTGATTCCGGAAACCCTGGCAGCATCTCAACGACATCAGGGTCTGAAAAGTAAGACACAGCTATTTAATTGGTAAACAATAGCATAGAAACACGTCGTGATCTGCCGTAAGCTGTATATTGCAGTATTCACTGAACTCTACTGCTGGGCTTTGAATACAATGTACATACGCTGTCCTGTTTGTAGTTAAGCTCACTGTCCGTCTCTACTCTACTTCAGAAATAGCAATGCTTTTCCTTGGCACACAAAGCAATACAAACAAAGTATATATTCGAGTTGTTCGCTTTTTTTTTTCTTTGTTTGCGTTTCATAATCACCAGCGATCCGGCCATATTGTACGAGCAACAGCTCAAGTTGCAACAGCAGCATCAGCAACAGCTGCACGCCCATCAGCAGCAACAGTTACTACAGCAACGGCAACAGCAAATGTTGCGACAGCACCATCAACAACTCCAGCAACAGCTACATCAACAGCTGCAACAACAACAACAACAACAACTTCATCAACAGCACCAGCAACAGCAGCAACAGCAACAGCAACAGCAACAGCAGCAGCAGCAGCAGCAGCAGCAGCAGCAGCAGCAGCAGCAACAGCAGCAGCAGCAGCAGCAGCAGGTGTGAAAATCGGCTTTTAGCCAGTTTCTCGCTTGTTCCCTACGGCTGTGTCCTGATTGACAAAATAATGAATCAAAGCCATTGGGTTCCCACAAAGCGAGCAGGAAAATTGATCGCTTCGCATGTTTTGGCAAATGTATGTAACCAGCCTTTCCCTAATTTGATTTGAGATAATAGGAAAACGGCCAGACTAGGCGGGCTTAAGTTCAATGTTTATGCCAAGGATTTCATGTCTGAGGCACTATATTAACGTTTAAAGTGTACCACAGGCTTGTGAGAAAAAAACTTCTGGAGACAAGCAAGTTGTTATAGTGTGCCAAGCTATCACATTCGTCTGTTGGAGCGTTCTTTTTGTTATTATCATCGGACCTCTTGGGCCTCGAATTCGACAGTTCTCTTCATCGACATAACTATTTGGGAAGACAAATTCGAATAACTGACCGATCATCACATGAATGATCATACAAATCCAGTTTTCTCTGGCACCGTTAAGTACTCCAAACTGAAATTCTGGGACACTCGACTCCTGTCTAGGCGGCAGTTCTGTTTGCTGTACAAGGCTCTCACTTGAAACAAATTTACACTGGACTTTGAAGCACCCTGTATATATTTAAATGCGTATTCCATATGTTAGTAATATTTAATTTTAAGAAAGACACATAAATTGTGGGAAAAGATGGATAATTAACCTATTCTCGTTTTATAACAGGTGCAACTACAGCAACAGCCTCAACAGATGGACGATGGGTAAGTTCCGGTTCAGTCTATTTTACAAGAGATCTACTTACGATCAATTGAATTTTTCTTCCTGATATCAATTCTTCAGCCATTCGTCAGAGGCGGGAACACCAAGGGCGTATGTTCCGTGCGCAAAACACAGTTCGGGTCTGGTATTCACTAAAATACTATAGTTGCCGTTGCTTATCAGTCATTTTCCTTCAGTAGGTAATAACGTAGTAACCCATGAGAGCTACAGTGGCTTATTCAAAGCTGGACTCATGAAGATATTACAAACGTAACCCCGATAATAAGCAGTCGTGAGCTTTCAGTAATGTCAGAAAGGCAGAAGTATGGGCATGCTCAGACCACGACCCCATGCTTTATTTTTGTCATCAATTTCCAGTTATGTTGAAGAAGATGAAGACGATACGTGGTCGCTAAGTTCCGGCAACTCGATTCGAAAAAATCACGCAGTACGCAGAACGCCGATACATAAAAAGTCCGTGCAGTGAGTGTGTCTGCTTTTCTGCAATAAATTTAATACAGAAGAATATTCGTGTAAAGGATCATTAGCATAGTTCTTTTATGAAGAACGTAATTCCGATCACGATTATCGCTCTCTCATATACACATAAATAATAAGTTATTAAAACGTTCCATATTTTAATATTTGTCTTCTTCTTCTTTTTCATATCAGAAAGCGTCTAATAACTGTGATAAGACGAGTGAAACTGTGTATAGGTAGACCCTATTTTAGCTCGAAACTGCTATGGGTTTCTATAACGACAATGTACAGTCGCCGTTCGCATAGCCAAACCTAAACTAGATATTCGATAATGATATTTTTTTGTTTTTGTTTATTTAAACAGTGGTGGCTCAGCTCCTGGAGACAGTGGGGATGGCCGCAAAGGCCCAAACAATCAAAGTCCCGATTCAACAACCGTCAACGATAAAATGCGTTGGCTTACAACTGACGATTCAGCTGTGCCAAGTGAACTTAGTACCGCTCCCCAAACCGCAGCCATACAAATGGTATAAAGTCTTGGTACTTTTAAGATGTTTGTCGATAGATCAGAGAACCGTTTTACGTGGCCGACAATTTTTGCAACCCGCGCCTAGTCAGAGGCTATCTGTATATTTTGAGTTTTATAACCGGTGCTGTTGTTAAACATTGTATGAGACGCTTCGTAGAGTCAAAGAGAGGCCACACAATCGTTGAGTTGTCATTGTTCAACTCAAAAGACTACAGTGCCTAATGCATCGGCTTATTCTTTTTCAATAGATAAGTTCTACGCCTGGCCAACAACAACAGCAGCAACAGCAGCCAGTAAGTACTTATCGCTAAGTACGTTACTGTAATGAATGAATTCAACCCTAGACCGCAAACTCCACAACCTGGGTCTCATGCCAACACTAAGTGAACCTATTTCTTCCTTAAATTTTACGACATTAAAAAGTTGGCATAACATGCAATGAATCTAGCACTTCTTCTGTTAGTATTCCATCTCATGTCACTTAAATAAAGTTTGTGGGACGGCTACAGCTGCTAAGATATACTAATTTTGCTTGCTCTTGTGTTAAACAAACAGATCAACACAGCGAAGAACTACATTCGCACCATTCCAATCCCACCTACACCCCAGAACCTCGCACCCCAGACCGGAGGACCTCCGCCTCCGCAACAGATTTACATGAATCTACCAATTCAACAAACAGGCGCTGTAAGTAACCCCTGCCGTAGGTGAGATAATTTAAAAGAGAATAACCTAGTTACTTTAAATCCCTCATGCTAGTGTTGATTGTATATTTCGAAAGAGGAGTATTTGACAAGTCTATTTTAGCTTGAATATTTTTTCGTTAACCGGCCTCCCATCGTGATTACTGTTTGCAGTATTTTATAATATTATCTGCCATCAAACTATCTTTTTCAATAGACCTTTCTGTATTAACAGGCGCCAGGTCAACAGCGAAACGGTTTCGTCGCACGTCAGTTGTATTACGACAGCGGACGACCTGTAGGACCTGGTACACAGGTAAGTAACCATACAATTGTATACGCGCATTATACATACAGTTTTGGCACTAGTCCTTATTTATTAAACTTGATCTTTCGACATTTTATGATCTTTCGACGTGTTGAGGTCGAAAGTATCATAAAATGTTTGGATCGATGCTTGCTAACCATTAAAACAGGTACAAGGGAGAATGCGTTTAATTTTACTATTAATCTTTCGCCAGGTCGTGTCAATCGCTGCACGAGATTACCGAATGATCCGACGTATCCCCGGTGAAGCTTACCCTGGGGACCATCTACGTCGCCAAGGGTCTCCTCTATCACCACACCAATTGCAACAGATGCAGGCCTCTCTACAACAACAAGCGCAATACGCGACTCTGCCTGGTATTTATTTAGTTTGTTCAATTGTAAGCCGTGACTCGTTGTTGTGCAGCAGAATTGCGATATCAGGCTTGCTCGTTTTGACATTTTAGTTGTCGACGCAGTCTGTCTTTAGCTATGGACGGGTTTTTATTGGTCTACCGATCCCTACTGGCACCAGTAATTCGAATATATTGAACGTTCAACCATAGCAACCATTTGCTGTTCCAGGGAATATGCAATACCATCCGTTGGCTTCCCAGCTGACCGTTCAGCTGCCCGGAAGTGGAACTGGCGGACACTCCTCACCGCAAGCTTCACCCACTCCTTCACCTCAGCCACCTAACGGACAACAGTCCCTACAGGTGAGCCTACAGCTATAGAATATCAATTTATCTCACAATCGCTTTGTAAAGAACGGAGTTTGTTTCAATGAGCATTAGACAGTACCACATTTACGTGTACTTGGCCTCATTTTTTAGGCATCCTTAGACAGAAACGTTTTTGGTGGGACAATCTTGCACGATGTTGAATATGCGCAATCCTGAAAATCTGAAGTCTGTAGGATCTGTAGGAATTTAAAAGAAGTAAAATGTATTTGTGCCCGTTCGAAAGTTTGTAATTAGTGCAGGACCCTTGGAAGTTCCTTAGAAAAATAATGGGCCGACCTTCGTATATCAGAAATTTCTAAGTAACACGAGTAAAATGAGAAATTATTGCAGTGTGCTAACACTTTTTGGCACCCAGCGGGCGGTGATATAAATTTGCATGATTGATCAATTTGCTTAGGCTGGCCTTCAAGCAGGCGGTAGCCATGCTTTGTTGACTACGCAGAGCTCCCATCAAGCAGCGTTGCAGGCTGCTACCTCGCCGCCTCCTGCCGTACAGGCAGCGGTTGCGCAGATCCAAAATCAGATTGCGCTTCAACAACGAGCCTTGCGAGAACAGCAGGCTATAATCCAATCAGCGCAACAGCAGGTAGGTTTTCGCAACAAGAAAGACAATCCTGCGTTTATAACTGTATGTACGTGCGTGTATCTGGCCAATGTTCATCACTTACAGCTGCTCATGGGAATGGTACATGCGTTTGTGACATGAGTGTAGCATAGGTCGAAGTCCTTAGAGAGTGTATCTAACAGAAATGAACCTTACTTAAAGCACTATTTACTTTCACCTGTTTAATTTCGACGATAATGTTATTCCGCGAAAAGTTACTTTGTAATCTTTGACGAAGCAACTTTGTTTAGTGTTTATGAGTGGTGGCTCAATCTCGGGGCGAAAAATTGTGCATAGCATAACATTTGGTGAGTTTGAGTTAGATCACCGATCCCTTGTGTTTCCCTGACAGGCTATCCAGCAGGCGCAGGTTCTGCAGCGCCGTCTAGCGGACGGAGGCAAACTGTCTGATCACGAGGAACTCTTGGACAAGCTTAAAAAGGGACAGCAAGACACTCTCGACAGGTACAAGGAAAACGGAAATCAAGAAGAACGAACAAAAACTGTGACATTACTCATATCAATCAGTTTTCTTAGAAAATGCAGAACTTCGCAATCAAGTTGAACTAAAGTCTGATAAATGATACAATTTTTTTCAATGATTCATTTTATCAGACTATAAAAATTACTAGGTAACAATAATCGTCAATATGTTGGAGCATGGAGACTATACGTGATGTATTTCGATTACGGATTGTGCTGAAGTTTGTCGAATGCCTACACGAAGTCATCTGCTTGCTTAGTCACCATTTTTGTGATGTATTTTCCTCCTGGCGATTCCCTTCTTTCTCTAAACAGGAATGAACGGCTCTCGAACCGTTACAGCGTCACGGAAGAAGAGGATCCTACGTTCGGGTTTGCACGCAGACCTTCTGTTAAGGGCATTCGGCAGGTGCGTTGCTGGTAGAAGATCGTTATCAATTTTATAAAGCTGGTTCCACAATGAACACAGCATAATGGCTAGGATAATATTGTTCCAAATCGAGAATTCTGAGATCTCTCGTTCGTGTGTGCAAGGAAAGTCTACCGATGTAAAGCTTTCGCTTTCCGATGCACTGCTCCAATGTTGAATATCAGATTTATCGAGAGGACCTGAATGGATATTTGTTTCGAGTCTATCGAACATCTATAGTTGTTACTGTTGTTATATATTTGGAATACTTACGTGTACTGCCATTGTTGTATGTTCGTGCGCAGCGGTACACATCCCAAACAGAACTGAGCGGGTTGAACGCCGGCGCAGGCGCTGGACGCCCTTCTCATGTCGGCGGCGGCGCTACTATGGGCAAAGGTCCCGTCGTTGCCGCCCCGCCCCAACCCCCTCAGCTGCCTCAAATGGTAGGGGAAATTGACTTTTCGATGTTGACTTGACCAGAAACTTAATTGACCACAATTCTAATTATACCTGACTAGCCGAATTACAAAGAGTGATATCCCGAAAGCAAATAAGATAATCCGATATGGTTAATTAAAATATGAAATTTATTACACTTAGGAAATCGTTATTAAAATATTTAGGACTCTGTAATAGATGTACGAAATTTATTTTACCGTTACAGATGTCTAATTCCGGAGCTCAGACAGGAGTTCAATCAAGCATTGGAGGAATATCAGGTCAATCTGTGCAGCAGCAAATCTATCAAAATCAAATTGCCCAAGGTGCTACACACACAGACACACCATTAGTCAATTTAAATTATCTATGGGTTTCTTTTCGAGTATATTAGTAGATCCAAACGTTTTACGAGCCTGTATTTAATACAAATTCCTAAAATGTGTTGACTGAGCAACGTAAAAATAATCTACATATTAGTAGGATTCTTCAATATAATAAAGGCCATTTTGAAATTGGGTTTTTGCAGGCTACATGACCCTTCCAGCAGGTGTTTCATTAGCCGCTCTAAACGGTCCGGGCGGACAAATGTGGGTTCCTACTGGGGAGCAATTGCAGCAACAGCTTCACCAGATGGTAGGTAGTCGAAATGCCCTTTCTTTGATCGTCTCAGAATCGGTTAGTGTCTCATGTACGAACGTGGCTCTATATACCTCTGCACCTGTTCGCCTACAGAACTATTGTTGATAGTGACTCATCATGAAGCAATCTTGGCGGGCGTTCATCATGCGACTAGGGGTTTTCATGTGTGATAGCCTTTTTATCGCGTTAATATAGCCATATCCGTTATCTATCAACATCTTAAGTGCGAATATGCAACATATGAAAGTAATGAAATCGCTGAGGTAATTAAATAGGAAAAGTATTTTCAAATGATAGCTACAATGAACAGCCGAATACCAAACTTGCACCGCAGAGGCATTTTGTAATACTAGAATCGGTTAAAATCCACATAAAATAGCTTCGATGGGGTAGCATTTTTTATGAAGTACCACTATTTAAATTGAGGTCGAATTTATGAGTAATACATCAAGTACATCATAAATCAAGTGATACATGTTAATTTCTATATACACAGAGTGGCAAGAGCCTAACTATTAACCTCAAGGACGTAATACGTCACCTTAGGATGGGCTTCAAGTAGATGTAACTGAGCGCTTAACAAACGCCAACCTTGACAGATGCATTGCTGCCTCTCCTTTCAACAGCAGATGGGGGCACAGATCCACGGAGGACAGCAAGTAAAAGTGATGTTACTGCCAAGAGTCCTAGAGGAGCCTGATTCTAGTCAAATGACAGCCGCCAAGTGCCATACGCACAAACAGCAACAACCCCAGCAGCAGCAGCAGCAGCAACAACAACCACTACTGCAGCAGCAGCAGCAGCAGCAGCAACAAATTTCTAAACAGCAGCAACAGCATCATCATCAAACGACGGTATAGTAATAGCAGTGGTATAGATAAACGTTCAGCTTTTAATGGCTTTGACTTGTTGGCAAGCGGTTGGAGTATGTACAGAAAGGCTTTTCGCTATTCCAATACACGCCTGAGACATTTGGGTAAGCACCCTTCTATCAACAAGCGAAACTTCCCGAAGTTACTGTTCTAAGACTTCTCATATGGCCTTTCAAATTTTCCACTAATTGAGCTTTTCGATTATTTAACAGGGCCAACAAACGCCCCAGCCGCCTCAACAGCAACAGCAAGTCTGCTAAACGCATCGTAAGCGAGTACACTGAATGCAAACTTTCAAATCATTTGAATATTAAACAATAGCTATATATATATATATATATATATCTATGCGTCTTGTTGGATAAGTTTTGCTGTATGATTTTTCAAAATGTTGGAACATATGATAAAAAAAAATATGCATGTAACTGTTTTTGCTCGTTGCAGGCTAATGCACGCCGAGGCGCGGGCCGTAAAACCTAACCACTCGGCTAGAGCACGCCATGTGGCGGCGGGTTGTGTCTCTAATGCTCAATTCAGTGTAATCATAGAGAAAAAATGGAAAGATTCATACAACTACACTATAGCTGCCGGCCACAGGCACATGCAGTAACTATAGTTGTGCAGCATACAGACAGGCCAACACTGTGCAATGGACACACAACATACCAACTAGGGTTCACATGTTTCGCCATTAACCCATTGCCACTTGGTAACAGCTCTTGGCACCAGCAGAAAAACAGCGCAACGCTCATCGATCAGCCTAATTAGCCCCGTGCGGTACTTGCAGGAAGTTCGACATTCGATCATGTTAGTACCAAGTGCTGTGCACGTGTCAGAAGGGAACTGCATAAGTATCCGGTGAACATTGACAAATAGCGAGATGGGATTCCTCTGACTCTTCGTTTTCACTGCTCTTACTTCAATCGGAGCTTTATCGGATTGTCCCTGCGCGGGGTATGCCATTCACTCCTACGTAGGAAAAAAAAATCTACATTTCCGCGTATTCGTCGCTTCCGACGCTGGTGAAGGTTATCAACAACTGAAAGAATGAATGAATAAATACTAATAGTGCGAAAATGTTCCTCACGAGCGCACCGATATGCAACGCCTATTGCACCTAACGAAAACCCGACCAGTTTTTGATATCTCATTTTGCCGTTGTCGATGTCACAGTTATTGCAGTCAATGCTCACTGCAAGACGGAGCATAGAAGCGCGCGGGGTTGGCTCCGTGGCAGCGCTATTCTCTCTCCACTAACAATAACAACAGCTCCTGATAAAAACAAACGTCTCGCCCTAACCCTTTACGGATACAAAATCCTTCTCGGAATATTTCTAACGTAATGTGCTGGCATCTCCGGAAGTTATTCTATCTATCCAGCGGCACCAGACGGGTGTGTGTCAGCTGTTTGGTACCGCCGGCATATAGTCAATAGGTGAAAAAAACTAATGACGATAACAGATTGATACCAACGAATATAGTTCTAAAAACATTATTAGCATAATAGTGATAATGATGTATACGATCGTACAAGTATCATCGTATAGTTCTGCTTTGATGATGACGCCAGTCTAGGAAAGGAAACAAAGAAAAAGTTTAAGCGTAGTATAAATATGTTGTCCTGCTTTAAAGGAACTAAAACAGGACGAACTCAATAACGCGGAGACGTGAAACACGTCGTCCGAGACGAAGTTTTTGTGCTCGATAACAAGAGATTTAGTGAATAATTTCTGGGTTTCGCCTCTTCTGCCCCTTTCTTCGCATAGAGACCCTGTAGGTCGAACCCAAATGGGGCGATCAAGGCCATCGCTATGATTAAGGCTGAGCATTCGACCCCGAGGAACACAGCAGATAGTTTTTCATTATATATATATATATATATATATATATATATATATATATATAATAGGTAAAACGCCGTAGTGCTGTTTAAAGGCAGTGTACGATGACTATTGAACTTGTCTCACAATAATAGCGTGTTTTGTTAAACGCAAAGCATTACATTATCTTCTCTAGTTTTCCACTGTTCCTTACGCACAGCGTTTTTGACTGTCCTGCCAACAGTCATCATTTCCACTAATATTCCCGCCGGAAACAAGTGCAACACAATAAGCGGCGGAAGGAGCGTTCGTTGCCCCTTAATTATAGTCGTAGAGTCGCAAGAGTCGCATATCCAGCATTGAAGTATGAGAATATATATATATATATATAGAGAGCGAGTGAGAGAGAGAGTGGGGGAGACGCAATTAGCCTGTGGTTCCACTGGCGGTTCCTGCGTCAGGGCAAAGCGTGTGGCGTTATCGCTTCATGACGGAGACTCGAAGCAACTATCAAACGCTGATAGCTAAGATCCATCGAACAGGCCAGTGAAGTACCCCAAGAGATTGTGGAGAACTTGTTCCTTGTCCCGGGGAGTGACACGGCTCGATTGCTTTGCGTTTCAGATTGTTTACCTTACATGGTAAGGTTTAACAGATCTAACGATCGCGGAGGTGGAAATCGTGCGGACCGTGAGTTGTTTCTGTCTCTGTGCGTGAATGTTGCATGTGATGGTATCTGTGTATAGATGTGAAAGTGGGGGGTGACGGTGTCTGTTGACAAACGTTTGTGTTGGCGGGTGAGTGTCTGTCTATCTATCTATCTATCTATCTACAGTCAATAACTATAATTGCCACACCCCTTTCGATATTCTGCTGTTTTCAGCAGTGATCCATTAAGTCGAGTACGAGATGACTCTGCAGTTTTAATAATGAGTTCTGTACTAATATCCCCGAGAACAATAGCCAATTTGTTGATAATCATCAACTGACAAGGTTCTCGTTAATTAGAAATGGGCAGGCCGGCCAGCTCAAACGAACATATAACTGTGGATTACGCACTGCCCGACAGAGGAATCAAACGAGGGAGCAAGGAATTTTACGAGTGTACATAAGTAATAAAAACAATATTAATATAGCTACACTGATACAATAAAAATAACGGCAAAACAGTAACAATAGCAATTATCATAATAATGACAATTATTGCAAAAATACCAATAATTACGACGACAAGTAATAACAAAAACATAAGACACAATTAACCTGGATGATGGCAGACGACTAGACGTAGTGCGAGATGCGGCAGGCAGGTGAAGTGGAACTATATATATATGGATATATATATATATATATATACATACATATATATCCATATATATATATACATATACATATAGATACATATATATATATGGATGCGTTTCACATGCACAAACTCTGGAGTTTAACAATGCTGATACAACCACCGATAGATACCAACTAAAAGTCATTGTGTAAAATACTATGGTCTCTGTAATAATAACTTTATATATATATATACGTACGTAAAAGGCATAAGAAAATAACAATGTTTCGAAAATAAGTGGCAGGAAAAATTGAAATCAGTCAGAAAGAACGGCAAGTGGAATGGATAACACGACGATGTCAACATTCTAAATATGTCGGATTATCGAGTGTGCGATTAAGGCAGTTTAAACAAAACTGATATACCGATAGGGATAGAGACGAAATAATAACATTAATAATGATTATAGATATTGCATGGGGAATAGTAATGAGGCGTGAGAGAACGAACGACTGCGAAAAAAACAACCATGTAGTGACCAGTGTATGATGATCATTACAGAACCAGAGACGTTATTATAACAATGAATAATATATAATTGAGTTTGCTGCTTTCAGACTCTCATTATTATTATTGCGGTTAATTAGGGGAAAGCGATGAAATAGACGTAAACAAAGGAATCTAAGACAAGGATACACACACACAGAGGTGAAGTCGATAATAGCTACAACTGGATTCAGTCGGTGCATGTTTTCTAAGTTCATACTGAAGGCACCCATTCGAATTTAGGTTCACTTTAAAGGATGTCGATGTGGGCAGCATTTTTTTTTCAAAAAGGACACACTTACGCACACCAGTGTTGCTCACTCGACAGATCGTTTTTTTCTTACTGGAATTCATTTATCGTTTACCCTTAGCTTCTGTGGTAATAGATTAAACAAAATCGAAAAACACCAGATTGAGTAGGTTTATTTGAAGCTTCCATTTGTTAACTTAATGATTTACTTGAAATCGTTGACTATTTACGATAACGACCTCCTATTTGATTCATACAATCCGTGTGTGTGTGTGTGTGTGTGTGTGTGTGTGTGTGTGTGAGAAAGGATCAGGTGCTAGCAGAATAATCGTCGTCTATGACGGTATTCATGTAACCTTGGAGGTAGTCCCGTGTTCGTATTTGTGTGGATAGACCGTGCAGCGAGGGTATGTGGGCAAAAATGATACGATTATGATTAGAACAGTTGCGTTTCGATATGATGCTAATACTCTGAAACTATGCGGATATGCCCCTACCATTAAGGAAACTGAAGACCGCGGCAGGTACGATCGCTGGCCAAAGGCGACAAACAACATCCGCGTGCTGTTGGGAGCTCCCGAATCGTGCTTGCTAGACGCGTCCAGTATGTTCTATTTTCGCAGTACTTGGTTACTCTCAACTGTGAATCGGGCGCAATTAGAACCACTATAGAATTACACGATATTTTAGCAAAATCGCAAATCTTCACTACATAACAAGCTATTTAATATAAGGTTTGTCTTGTGCGCGTGATGGACTCGTCACTTGTATAATAACATAAAGCTTTCACTTTAATCATCAGGGGACGAGAGTGTCTGTCGTGTAAAACATTCAAAAATTGACTAGTAATAATGATAAAGAGGAGAGATATATTTATTTATTTATTATTATGCAAAGTGTGGACATTGTTGGCCCAAGGTTTAGTCAAGTGCTATCCACGTAGCTCTCTCCGTGTATTTTTATGTTTTGATGCAGCATATGATAGGCGTTTTTTCTTGTTACTAATTGTCCATTCTGCTCAGATTAGTCTTTTTTTACCCAAAAATCTCTCGTTCTCTCATAGCATTTTCTCTGCTAGAAAACCAGCAAGAAATTTGCTAATATTGGTTCCCTCTACGATTTATGGCAAAATGGACGTGTCGGCTACTTAGCATTAGGACTGCGTTCCTGATCGTCTTACATCATTATATATATATATATATATATATCTATTATGAACAGCTTTTCAGTCAAGACTTATGATTATAATCTGAGAGAAAAAGCGAGTAGAAGACCGCTGTAAAAAATACCTTAACAACTG